CCCCCCCCCCAAAACTCTGCAGCTGCTGCCAGCGATCGGCCCTTCCCCTTCTCCTCACTCTCATTGGATTCATGTGCACAAACCCTTGCTAGAGAGGATTTTTGAGGCGTTGCGCACGCAATGCGTGCAAACGCTGGGACCGGCTCTTAAAATGAGCCAACAAATAATGATCAAACCATCTTGCAGAAAACAAAACAAAACAAAAAACGCCATCATCATCATCATCATCATCATCATCATCATCATCATGGCCACCATCACGGCCATCGTCATCTTCTTCGCCGCCATCGTCGTTGGCGTCTTCTTCTTTCTCCGTCCGCACTCCTTCACATTCTACCTCACCGTCTTTCTTTTGGAAACTCTCCTTCCCGACCACATATCACATTCTACCTCAAACTCATTTCTTTGTTGGTGTTGTTGTTTTGTCCCAAATCTTGAATCTTTTCATCGTGACCTTCATCCTCATCTCTTCTCGCTCTACGATTTCCTCCTCTTCATCATCATCATCATCAGCAGCAGCAGCAGCAGCAGCAGCAGCAGCAGAAGCGGGGAGATGGCGGGGAGATGGAGACAGGAAGAAGGGGGGCAAATCAGGAAGAGAAGATGGGAGGTAAGAGAGGGAGGGAGGGGAAGATGGGGAGAAGGATGTAGAGAGAGAGAGAGAGTGAACACACAGCAGGAAGACACATACCGTAAATACGAGGTTGACATCCTAAGCAATAACAAAGAGAGTACAGGAGAGCGAGAGTGACGGATCCACCCTATAAAGGTAGTGCCGCACAGAGAGAGAGAGAGAGAGAGGTGGAAAGGGAGGGAGAGGGAGAGAGAAGGAGAGAGAGAACAGTCTATGTAGCAAAGGAGAAAGGCAAGAAGCAGAGAAAAGAAAAGACGGGAAAAGGGAAGAGAAACTACATCACACAAGAGAGAAACGACGACGACAAGAAAAGCGGAAATAGATAGATGGCATCACTGCGTTCGAGATCATTCATTGTCTGTGGTTTTTGCTTTTTTTTTTTTAAGAGTGAAATGACTTTTACTTTCATTTTCAATCGAGCGGTGTGCTCCCCCCCCCAAAAAAAAAAAAAAATCCAAACTGTGTCAAAAACATACAACACCCAGACACGATCGCGCTCAAAATTCCGGACTAGAAGTGGAAAAAAAAAAAAAAGATAATGCAATGAGTTACTGTAGTTTCCTCCGCGGCGGCTTGGCCGGTCATTGTCAGAAGGGGGAAAAAAAAAAGATAATGCAATGACTTAGGGTCAGATCCCACTACCCTGGATTATTCATTTTTCACCCTCGATTACGAAGATCAACGGTCAGAAATGAACAATCGGGGCTAGTAGGATCTGGCCCTTACTGTAGTCACCTACCTAGCTGGAGCAGGGTGTTGATGACTTCCGAGAGCCCATAACGAGTAAGATGGCCAGGTACTGCAAAGGGCGCGTTCGTCACACGGAACTTGGGCGGAAGCGACGTCGTGAACCGCACTTGCACCTGCCTCTCCTCCTCCCCCTGCCAGGACCTCGGCTGCCCTCCCTGGTCATTATTATTATAATCATAATTATCGACATACATCCCGCCGCCGCTGCTTGGAGATCGACCGTCCACTGAAGCCGCCATATCCACCAGCATCTTCGGGAGATGAACCTTCTACCTACCACGACAGAGCAGCCGCCGCTCTGGCGATGGCGGCACCCTCAGCGTCACGCTAGCCGGCCTCCTCCTCTCTGTGCGCCCTCCTCCCCCCAACCGCCCGCTCCCCCACGCCTCCCCTTCCTTGTCCACCTCTCCTCCCTTCCCCTCACGCACCCGTCATTCCCCGCCCAAACAACGGAACCACTCCGGCGGGTTCCTCGCTTCCACCGCAGGTCAAGCCCGCCCAAACGACCGCGCGCACACACCTCCGCTGTGTTCTACCGGCGACGAGATGGCGCTACCGGTCTTCCAAACTTGCCTACCGGTCCCCCGAATCCGGAAGGATGGTCGTACCCTTCCGACCCTACCCTACCCAAGGGTAGTACTTTCGGACATGCCGTGCGCTGTGAAACTCCAGACCCACATGTGCATCCCAATTACAAACAGTCGTACTTGTCCTTCGGGACATCCGTTAAAATTGGAACGATACAGAGAAGATTAGCATGGCCCCTGCGCAAGGATGACACGCATAAATCGACAAACAGTCGTACCATGCCGCTATCAGAACAATAGGGGAATGGGCATCCGAATGCGCAACACTGAAAGCTGGGTGGGGGAGAGGGAAAGAAAAAAGAAAGAAAAAAGAAAGAAAAAAGAAAGAAAGAAAAAAACGAACCCAACGGGCCTGCCTCAGGGCGTACTAACTAGCAGTATCTCAAATGTATCTGACCCCATTCACGCCATACCTGGATGTATCTGGCCACAGTTCGGTCCAAAAATATGCAAAAACGTAGTGTGAGTATGCCCTCAGTTGGTACACGAATGCCGTTTTGAAATGCAGACCCATGTTCGAAGCAGTCGGAACCATACTTCTGAATTACAACACTTTTCCCCCGAGCATAACGCATATGTGTTGTATTCGAGTTTAAGAAAAAAACGGCTTTTTAGAAAGTTTGTACCTTGTTTTTCAAATAGGAGGGCATTTCGAATACACCTCATATGTTTTGTATTCGAACAAAACGTATACACGTTTTATTCAAATTTTAAAAATATTTCAATAGAATTTTTTTTTTTTCCATTTTTTTGGGGTTCAGCTCATATGCTCTCTCTCTCTCTCTCTCTCTCTCTCTCTCTCTCTCTCTCT